TTCTGAGAGGTTGGGTAACTTGCCAATTCGTGGGTGACATAACTAGTTAATGGTAGGAACAAGATTCAGATCCAGGTCTGCCATCCCAAGCCCTTTCTTCTATACTGCTCTGCAAAGTAACCATCCATGGTAGGCAGAATAATGCCCCCCATTCCCAGCAAGATATCCACATCCTAATTCCCACACCACTATCTTATATGACAAAGGGGAATTAAGGTTGCAGGTGGAATTAAGGCTGTTAATCAACTGACCTTAAAATAGGGAGGCTATCCTGGATTATGTGTTTGGGCCCAGTGTAATCAAAAGGGTCCTTAAAAGTGGAAGACAGAGACAGAAAAGTCAGAGGAGATGTGACAACAGAGGCAAAGTCAGAGCGATGAAATATGAGACTCAGCCTGCAGTTGCTCGCACTGAAGACAGAAGGGAGTTATATGCCAAGGAATGTGAGCAGCCTCTTGAAGATAGAAAATGCAAGGAAATAGATCCTTCCCTAGAACATCCAGAAAGGAGCACACCCTGCCAACAACTTGGTTTTAGCCCAGGGTTACCCGAACTGGACCTCTGACTTATAAAACTGCAAGATAATAAATTCACGTTGTTTTAAGCCACCAAGTTTGTGGTAATTTGTTACAGCAGCAAAGAGAAAATTCATATACCATCATTCTGTGAATGTCTAAAGATCAGATCTGTATTCTTAGATAGAAGACCTACACACTTAGTACAGGTGTGGAAAAGAACTGCCTGCATGTAAATCCATGATGTTCCCTAGAAAAGAATTTTTGATCTTCTGAAGATCTAAAGATGTGTTGGATGAGACTGCAAAGTTCTGAGTCAAGTGACATGGACAAGACTGTTTTAGCCTGAGATAGAAAATATTTGCTGGCTTGCTTGCCCCTGTGATACTCTGAAACATCTGCTTTCCAGAACCACATCCTCATGGATCATCTAAAAAAAGTGAATTATAAAACACCTCTCAAGGGTTGAGTAAACTTCCCTGTTGGATGCAGTTATTAAACGTTGAATCAAACTTTGGTTGGATGTCACCAAATAGGACTTTGGATTAACAACCAGTGCTGGACAACAAGTCTAACTAATTCATGAGGCAGCAGACCTGAATTTGAATTCTATCTCCTATTATTTTCTGCCTGTGCATATATCACATAACCTTTCTAAACCTCAGTTTCTTCATCTGTGAGATGGGCTGATATTGCCACCCTGGAAAGGTTATTAATAAGGACTTAATGAAAAGAGATCAAAAGCATCTAGAACAATCATTGGCACATAATAAGTGCTCACTAAATACTAGCTTGCTTTCTTCATGTTAGTCAAATACTGTGAAGATTCTGTTACTAGCATAGAAGAAATGCTTATTTTCCTCTCTGCTCTGTTTATATAGCAAGAAGGCTTACATACGGTTTATGAATTGCTAAATTAGGAATTTTTTTAAAGGATAAGCCATGCATTCTCGGAAATGTGCCTAGAGGCCCAGATTGAAATTTGCTCCTCCAGTCCTTCCACTGATTTTAGACTTTTGATTCCTTGTATTATATCTCTTTCTGATTGAAAGAGCTAGCGTGATTTTTGTTATCTGTAACTAAACCCTGTCAGATACAGAGATGCACTGAGTATTACACCGTGTAATATTTAAAGATGAATCCCATCAAGGAACCTTTCCTGCCTATTTTGCTTTTAACTATTATTTTAATAGAAATGCCAATAAAGCATTAATATTTTGAAATTTACAAAAGAGTATTCATTCACACACAGTGCCAGTTTTACGAATCAAAGACTGAAGATAATGTTGGTGATCCCTTCCAATAGCCTAAATTGCTATAAACTCTCTTCATGAGACAGGATGGTGTGCAACAGTAATTCATAGGAGACAGTTTGCCTACATTTTGTTCCTCATGTAATTATTGTTTTGGGAAAATAACCTACAATTTATCAAGAAATCTAGAAGAGATTTTGCAAAGAAGCAGCCTGAATTGGTTGGTAGTCTGGGGCAATAATAATATAAGATTTTCATAAAGATTGGTAGACGGCACTTTGAGCTCATCTGTGTCAATTGCGTTAAACAAGAACTTGGGACTGCTGATCAGGACAGAATCTGAATAATTCCCTCAAGCCATCTTCTGCCAGAAAACTTTAAATTTTATGTGATTACTTAGATAGTTCTCTGGAAATGCAATTATCAAGACAAACTTGTTATCTTATAATAACTTACTTACACATTCTGTCCACTCTGCCAACCACTTCTACTCAAATCTTCATCTAGGCCCAGCTAGCAAATTTCAGGCCAAGGGATAAGTATTACATTTCACTCAGACCTCTGATTTTTTAAAGTGCTCTTTCTGAGAAAACTTGAAGCCACAGAGAAGTCAGGAGCCATCATAGTTTGACTGCACCTCCTCCCACATCCATGCTAGGCAGGACTTTTCAGCACATCTCAAGTTTTCTGGATTGTGCACAGCTCGAGATGGCTCCTTTAATCTGTTATGTCTACTCCCTCAACAGATCTAGGCACCATCTTAAGGGAGCTTGCCAAGTCACATCCTCCTCTGTGGCCTGTGAGTTCCATGAAGGCAGGAGAGTTCTCATTCATATCTGTGTTCCTAGCACACAGAGTACATTTAACAAATGTTGATTGAACAAAAATACAGTCCTGAACTGCCTAGGCAAAACATTTTCTGACATAAATTGTAGCAATATTTTCTTAGATCAATCTCCCAAGGCAAAATAATTAAAAGCAAAAATAAACAAATGAGACCTAATCAAACCTAAAAGCTTTTGCACAGAAAGGAAACCATCAACAAAACAAAAGGACAACCTATGGAACAGGAGAAAATATTTACAAACAATGTAACTGACATGGGGTTAATACCCGAAATTTACAAACAGCTCATATCAATATCAAACTCAACTCATATCAATATCATATCAATATCAGCTCATAGCAATATCAACTCAATATCAAAAAAGCAAACAATCCAAACAAAAAAACAAGACCTAAATAGACATTTCTCCAAAGAAGACATACAGATGGCCAACAAGTACATGAAAAGATGTTCAACATCGCTGATTATTAGAGAAATGCAAATCAAAACCACAATGAGGTATCACCTCACACTGGTCAGAATGGCTGTCATCAAAAAGTCTACAAATAATAAATGCTGGAGAGGGTGTGGAGAAAAAGGAACACTCCTACACTATCGGTGGGAATGTCGTTTGGTGCAGCCATTATGGAAAACAGTATGGAGATTCCTTAAAAAAACAAAAATAGGCTTACTGTATGATCCAGCAATCCTACTCTTGGGTATATATTCAGAAAAAATCAAAAACTCTAATTCAAAATGCTATGTGCACCCCAGTGTTCATAGCAGCACTATTTATAATAGCCAAGACATAGAAATAACCCAAGTGCCCAACAACAGATGACTGGTTTAAGAAGATGTGAGAGATATATATGTATGTATATATATATATATATATATATATATATATATATATATGTGTGTGTGTGTATGTGTATGTATATATATATATACATACACATACATACACACACATTTTCTGGGTATATATATACCATTATATATATGTAATGGAATATTATTCAGCCATAAAAAGGATGAAATATTGCTGTTTACAGCAACATGGATAGACCTAGGGAATACCATGCTAAGTAAAGTAAGTCAGGCAAAGAAAGACAAATATTATATGATATCACTTATATGTGGAATCTAAAAATTAACACAAATGAATCTATATACAAAACAGTAACAGACTCACAGACGTAGAGTACAAACTTATGGTTACCAAAGGGGAAAGGGAGCAGGGGGAAGGGATAAATCAAGAGTATGGGATTAACAGATACAAACAACTATACATAAAATAGATAAGCAATAAGGATTTACTGTATAACATAGGGAACTATATTCAATATCTTATAATAACCTATAATGGAAAGTAATGTGAAAAATATATATAACTGAATCACTTTGCTATACACCTGAAACTAACACAATATTATAAATCAACTATACTTTAATTTTAAAAATGATTGTTTAATTACTTAGTACTTTTCATTTACACTAGCCAGAAGTGATTATCTTTCACATTTTAAATTTTTCAGAGTAAAAAAGATATAATTTAAGACTGGACTTTAAATTAGCTATAAACTTTTTCCCACATGATTTGTGGACATGATTGATGGTGGTTACTCTTAGGTATTTAGCCTAAAAGTGTTACATTGAGGGGTTCTTGAGGATGAATTCTGATCTTTACAGTCACATTATTGATTAGTAAGAAACTTGATATTTGGCTCAAATACTCATACGTTATAAAATTCTTCACTCTATCTATGAGCTTCCTGCTCTTGAGAAAAAATAATTTACTCTGAGAGTCTGAGGGACAGCAGTTTGTTAATTCTGGAATTTGATCTTGATGCTCTGACCCTCATAGTCCAGCCCTTCACTAGGGCTCACTTTTGTATTACTGTAGCAAAAGGTAACTTTTGTTTCTATAGCCAATGACTACATCTCCCAACCCTGCCAACAATCCCTCAAATGCATCTTCTTACTTTGAAGAATCAGGGAAGGAATGTGGATGAATCAGTCTAAATCCATCATCATCACTGTACTTTGCTTGTGACAGGTCGGTGGTGACATCCTGTGTGAGGATCACCCCCTGCAGTGCTGCCAGATGCACAGCAGCACCAGAACTAGATGACAGCTCATTCACTCCAGGCGAGAAGAGGTTCGGGCACACTAGGCTGAATGATAAGCTCCTCAACACGTTAGCTAGCATCAGGGATATACTTAGGTGAGAAAGGATCCTTATTCTGGGCTGAATAGCAGAAGCTACCGAAGATAATGTGGGTCAAGGCTCCTTAGATGGGCTGAGATAAGCTGAAGCTGGGGATGTGGCTGACTGAGTTGGGGGTGAAGGCTGCTTAGTTGAACTATGAAAAGCAATGTATACCAGACTCCAGAATGGGCCAGGCTGGGAGAAACAAGGTAGAATGTGGTGAGGTAAGGAGAGAGATGATGGGATGGATATAGGGTAGGAGAGAAGCAGGAAGGAGAAGTAGAGAGATGCACCAAACAAGAGGCTTAGCCCAGGTTTGAGTTGGAGACTTAGCTGACAGTTCTAGGGCAGAAAGGTAGGGAAGGGATAGCCAGGGGGCTATCAGCTATGCAGGAGCTGCCAGGAGTCAACAGCTGGCTCTGGGAGGGACAAAGATTGAGAAAAAGGAAATAATTAAATTTTTAAGAGCAGAAGGTAAAAAGGAAAGGGGTGAAAAGGGGTAGGCAGGGATGAGAGTTATTGGTCTGACTGGAGCTGGGCTAAATATTCTATCTTGCCATCAGCTTGGAAACACTGGGTGTGTCAGTTGCTGTGTAGGCAAAATTGAAATGAGAAGCCTGTCTCCTCTATACTCAATAGCAAATGACTTTAGTAGAGTCTAATGAACCATGCATACAAGGAAAGAAAAAGGTTAACTGAGGTTGAAAAAAAAAAAGCCTTATGCGGCAGTTTTCAAACAAGCAGGTTGACTTGGCTTGTGTGACGGTGATGATGCCTGATTTGGAGCAGAGCAATTTGTGTTGTACCATTTTAAAATCCATTCTGGCATACTGTGATGAATGTGCTGGCTGACAGCTAAGAACCTGCTGGAATGCAAGAGTCTTTCACCATTTATAATCGACACTTCCCCTTCCAGGAAAGAGCCTTTCTAATCTCTGAAGCAGTGGACTTATCAATTTGCATAAAAAATGCCTTTCTTAATGAACACATATTTATCATCTACCACTTACTTTCCTACTGTCTTAAACAAAAAAATCAGAATTAGTTTGCAGTAAATCAGCACCTTTAAATTCAGGGTGAATCTGTGAAGAGAGGCAGGGAGCCATCACTAGAAGGGGGAGGGGAAGGAATAAAATGATCCTTTTCAGTTTCCATGATCTCTTTTGTTTGCATCTAAGTGGTTAAATCACCAATTAGGTTAGATGCTAATTAAATGTAAAACAGACCACAGGAGTGTTCTGATATGCTTGTTAAAGTTGTACTTATTGGTTACTTATTCTTTACCGAATTCTCATAAGAGAAGATCAAATAGCTAAGCTGAATTCAAAGAAGCCTGCCAACCCCCCAGGTCTTGTACCAGTCTCTGAACAAAAAGGAACACCCAGGATCAACAGAGTCTACTCTCAAATCCCTCAAACACTAGATATACCACCTGCTCACATTTGCCCTGTTCTTGCTGCTGTTTATCCATGAGAAAGCCAAGCCTGAAATCCCTCTTGAGGCCAAGACTTATGGAAAAGCCAAACAAATTAGTTCAAAATTTTACACCCTTGATTTAATTTAATCATAACTGATTATACATACCTACACAGCACTCAATGAAATTACAACTCCGTCACATCTCTCCATATATCACATTTCATTAGACTCAACTAACATAAAGCAATTGAAAGATGGTGACCAGACTAAACCATAAGTCAGACCAAACCATAAGTCAAATTTTGAATGAATCTTGACAACATCTGGTTGTTTAAGTGGCATACCTAGGTTTATTTAAATCATTCCACTTCTTTTACATCTGTTAGAGAATACACACAAAAATATAATGCTACTGCAAAGCTGAAAAAAGAGTGTATAAAGTCCCATCCTTGGCAGGGACATTATATATACAGGAAAAACACAGTATGATCTATCTCATCAAGAGTTAATTCTACAGTAACATGTACCAGAATTTAAAATGTGTGAGCTTTTGACCCAGCAATGCCATTTCCAGGAATATCTCTTAAGGAGATCACTAGTAAAGTATATAAAGATGGCAAGCAAGGATATTCATTATGGCTTTCTTTATACAATAAAAACTTAGAATTAACCTACTTGTCTTTTAATGAGGGACCTGATAAATAAAAATATCAATGCAATATTATGCAGTCATCCAAAAACATAATGTATATGTATGTATATTGACATAAAAAATCTTCAAGTCACATTGCTAAGTAAAAAGAAAGATATAAAAGAGTATTCATGATATGACTCTACTTATATAAAACAATTTACATTTATACTTGTGGATGGTAAAATTTCAATCATTCAGTATTTTCTTCTTTTTACTTTTTTGTTCAATTTCCCATGGAAGCATGCATTTACTTCACAATCGGGGGGCGGGGGTGGGAATCAAGCTATTTTCATCAGAGGAGAAAAATCATTACTCTGTATTTTCAGTCAAACCAGAATAGTCAGCCAAGAAGCCAAAAGTAGCTTTTATATTTCTGTGCCTTCTGTTGAAAGGAAAACTGTCGATAAACAGACCATATTAAAGACAGAAACTGGATGGATGATGTCTAGAACTTGAACCAAAACAGAGGTGAAATACTACATAAACTAACGAGGATGCCTTTATTATACATACTGTTTGAAAGAATTAATTTGTTGTGCACATACGATGCATGTATTACTATATTTTCATGACAAACAAAAAAATTAATGTGGATTCCAAATGGCAGCAAAATATATAATTGTCATTGGTTTTTCTTACAAAAGTTACCACTCTATAAATCTTCATGTTAATGTGGAAAAATCTGACCTGAACAGATGGACCTCGTGCTGTTTTCTAAAACACAGACAGATTTTTGATCTTCTGCACCAGGAAATGAAGACAGCACTAAAACAGCACATACTATCATCCATCTCCTAGAATCTCAATTTAAGAAACTGCTAATAAAAGCAATACTTCCCTCTTTAGAAATATAGTACAGTGATACGTTTCTCCCTTAATGGAATGAGCTCTTGATATAGTAACAAGACATAGTGGAGTATTTGTGACAATGGAGGTGCTGGCTGACTGATCACTAAACTGCACCAATCTCACTGTGGTTCTTGGCAGGTGGCAGCATTTGGCTGCCTCCATCCAAGTTTCTCATGGAAGGCACAGTCCTGAGGGCTGCCACTCTGCCTGGTTAAATCTTCATCTTATTAGCCCAAGGGCCTCTTTTCCTTGAGTAGCTTCGCAGGAGCAGTTTCACAATAGGTACCCTTGGGCTTGAAATCCCAATAAAGGACTCTAGGTCAAGTAATTAGGAACTTTTGTGGTTTCTTCCTGCTCTACCACTTTCTAGCTGTGTAATGTAAGGCTGTGAGAAGGCTAGTGGAGCCAGCAAGACTGCGAGTGTTCATGTAAAATAGTATTTTATAAACTGTTGTCCTCCAGAAAACAGATATTAGTAATATGTTTTAAATAATCGAGATCAAGTTCTTGGAAAGTCATCTTCATCCTTCATTAATTGAGGCAAAATGGTGATAATGATATTATATAATATGTACATATATTAAAATATATGGCTTTATACAGTATTTACATTGACATATATATATATATTTAATATAGGGTAACCATAGATCATATTATAATAACATATATAAAATTAAAGACCGTAAGAGTTGAAAAACACTGTTCCTATGTATTTGCTCTGGGGTCACTAATTAATTCCCTCTTCCATATGACACCGTTTCAGTATCAGGAACTACTATTTTCTACCCTCCCCAGCCCAAATCTCCCACCATGAGTTTTCCCTTTTCCAAACTGAAAATCTCCTCTTTTTCAAATTATTCCATGTGTAATCATGGTTTTCAGTCTTCTCACCATCTTAACCATTCTTCTCTGAACACATACCAGTTTCTATGAACTCTCCTATTCAGGAGATCCTGTTTCTATGAGGGCAGCCTGAGATCACACCAGCTATGCTCGCAGCCTCACACATTTATTTTTATTCCTTCATTCAGTCAATATTTACTGAGTACTTATAATGTAGAAGGCACTGTGCTAAGACATTATGAGAGATAAAGTTGAGAAAACATAAGCTTTCTCTTAAAGAACTTACATGTTCATTTGGGAGATAAGAAATATGGTAACGAGTACACACGACAGACACAAGTGCTATACATGTTAGAGGAAGGAAATTATACAATTAAATATGTATTTGCTTTAACATCAGAGCACTAGAGAACAAAGCAAAAGTAATGACAGTTTCAGACTAGACCTATTTTGGTTTGGGATAGCGTAAGAATTGGTAAAAAGCAGCAGGTTGGGATTTAAGCAACATTAAGAGAGAAATTTCACGATTAGGAGATTACACACAGGTTCAGAAGACACAAAGGGTTTGTATTTTTACCCTTAAGAGCTCTGATAATAGGATCAATAATCATTTATCCAGAGTGATTTACATGCAACTTTATAGAGAGGCATAAATAAATAAATAAATAGACAGACAGACAGACAGACAGACAGACTACCACGTACCAGGCTTGTATCAAATGCTTTATGTGTATTATTTCACTTAATCCCAGAACAACCTCAACAGGGTATGCATCCTTATTAGACCCTCTTATATTCCAAAAAAAAAAAAAAAACTTAAGTGAAGATCAGCAAGGTTCAGTGACTTGCCCAAGCTTACAAAGGTGCTTATTATGACAGCCAAACTTCAAATCCAGGCTGTCACCTCTTACCCCAACTTGAGGCTGTCAACTACTTACTACCCAACAAAGCAATCTCTGGCAAACTCCCACCCACATCCCAACAACATTCCTGGTGAACTACTCGCAGAAGCCTCTCACTGAACAATCTGTTCCTCCTCTGGGTTCAAGAACACTTTCTACAGGGCTCTGTTATAATCCTTGATGTAAAGTATCACTGTGAGTTGCATATGTAACACTAACCCCTGATAAAGTGTTACTGCTCCAAGAACAGAGATTACTTCTTTATCTTCTTAGTACCCCCAGGCCTTAGGGCAATACCAGACTTAACAAAAGCTGGGAGAATGAATGAGTCCTCTGGCATAGCTGGCCCACTTTGGAGAAAGTCACCCTTTTAACCAGAGACCTCTAATTCTGAGTCTAATTAGTCGTGGTGAGGAGCTTTGGTTGCCACAATTCTGCAACCTAACTCTCTTCTGTCTCTTAACTCTAAATTAAGGGAATCCAAGAAGTAATGTGAGTATCTGGCTTTAGTCCACCACCACGCTCAGCAGCCTTATATACCTTTGGGATCCTCACCACCATTTAAAACAATGGCTCAGTCAGAGTTATACAGAAACCAGAGGCAAAATAAATTAGAATTCAATTACCTAGTATTTCTACTTTCCTTCAAGTTTTTAAAGTAAAATTCAGAGTTCAGTAAAGTTGCTGATATTTTGGGGTCTTAAATAAAAGGAAAGAGACACAAAGCAAGTGATTTTGTTAAGTCAGGAAATGATTAAATGAAACAGGCATGTGGATTGAGTTCATATATAATTATAACTATGAAATAGTGTTAACTGTGCATTATATATGCCCATTGATCATGTACAATTCTCCTACAGTGGTAACTTTAAGAGAAACCAGAGTGAATAAGTATTTAGCATGTATAATGTTATATAAGTGCCAAAAAATTTTAATTATATATGTATATTAACATTTATAGGGCAAAATAAAGTTTTGGTCCACTGAAGAAAAAAAGCTCAGGGATCTCAGCTCATCTCTGAGATTCCCCTACCAAGTAGAAGAGTGTTTCCTGTGTCCAGAATAGAGGTAGATGGATGAAAAGTGAGAAAGGAGGGGCAATGGGATGAATATCAGTCTCCTTCCCACACCCAAGCCAGTGGCCAAGACACAGTGACTTTTAAAGCAACATTTTGGTTACTTAGAGAATTTATTGTTAAGGGCAGAATGGCAAAAAAAACAGAAACAAAAACAAACTGTGTGGTGA